GAATGCCAATGGAATTGACAGGTTGGCTGGAGGCAGGGGAGCTGCCAGCAGGGGGGAGGAGGGGGAGTGTCCTGTGATCCTGTGCATGGAGGCACTTCTTGTTCCTGCTGGATCTCACACTGCCCTCTAAGGTGGCCTTGGACAGGGAGAGATGCACTTGTGTAGACACAACTCAGCTCCCAGGGACTGGGAAAAACCACAGTGCTTATCTGCTTGTCTTAAAGAAAGCAGAACATCCAAACCCAGGGGAGGCAGGGGCTGCCAGGGATCATAAATACTGAAGTGCAGGCAGCTGCTGGCTGGAGATTCCCTGCCAGCCACAGCCACCAGGCCTGGCTCAAAACCCTGGACAACCCTTGGAGCTGCCCCTGGGGAGAGCAGCACCAGGGCCCCCAGCAACCAGCCAGGGCTGCATTCAGGAAACCACGGGTGGCAGCTCCAGGAATACTCACCCTGTGTCTCCAAGGCCATGTAAAAAAATAACCTGTTAAATTAAGCAGAAGAAAAACACAAAAGAATTAACTGGTGCAACCAGTGGCCTGAAGAGAGGCAGGGCTGGGCTGGGCTGGGCTGGCAGGGACGCAGGGAAAGGCCACTTACTCACTAACTGGAGGAGGCTCAAAGCAGCAGAAATTAGCCAAGACTAATGACAGGTCTCTGCAGCTGATGGGTGGGACAGACACATCCTGTGCCACAGGCCCTGCTGTCACCCCCAGGCCTGAGGGGGGTGTTAGCCCCTCAGCTGCCCTGCAGAGCCAGGGAGATGGATCACCCACCCTGCACAGCACCAGGCTCAGCAGGGGCTCAGCTTCCCAGGGACCCCCCAGCCCATCCCCAAAGGCTTTTCACCTAAGGCCTGAGCAGCCCCCAAGCCCCAGGGAGCAGAGGAAAAGGACCCAAGGAATGAAAGGAGGATTTTCTCAGGGGATATTGGCTTTTATAAGCTGAAATAGCCAAATCAGATCCAGCTCCCTCTGACCTTCCCTGCAGAGCAGGCCCAGCTTGGGGCTCTGCCTGTGCTCCCACCCTGGACCAAGCACCAGACACAAACAGCCCAGCCCAGGGAACGGTTTGTTGTTTGTTTCCCTCCCCAGCCAGACAAGACCTCACTGGTCCTGCAGCCCCTTTGGGGCACCAGGATGGGACACCAGCAGAGCAGGGGGGATGAGGGGGCTCAGCTCACATCCCCTCCAGCCCCCAGAGAAGGAGCAGGGAGGCAGGAGGGACCCGGGATGCAGCCCTTACCGCAGCCGTCTCCCGCTCTGCCCCTGCGACCGTCACCGCGTCAGCCAGGAGGGGGACAGACATGTTGTTACCACACATACACCGAGGGGGGCAGGACACTGGCACCTGCGGGACACAGCACACAGGTAAGGGCAGCAATATCCTCCCCCTCTTCCCTCCCAGCAACAATCTGGGCCAGAGGAACCAGGTATTTTTGGGGGGGAATTAAAGAGCAGGCGAAGGTTTGATGTTGGAGCCCTCGGGACATCCCAGCTCCAGCCCTGGGAATGCTGGGGAGCCAGGAAGCAGCAAATGCTTCCCACGTGGCAGCACCAGCCACGTGTGAGCAGGGACGTGTGTGGGGTGTTGGAGGTGTTAAAATTAGCTCTTTCTGTCACACCTCAATGCCAAAGTTATCCCAGTGACTGGAGTGCCCGTGGGCAGGGGCAGCCAGGCACGTCCTGTCCTGCCCAGCTCCCGGGGGAGGCAGGAATGGCCCTGGGGATGCAGCACCACGGGCTCTGCAGCACTAAGGAAAGGTCCAGCCCTCTTTGCTGGAACCATTTAGGGGTAAACTGGAGGGATCAGGTGCTGCTTCCCAGAGCCTGCCCACCCCCTGTCCAGGGAGGTCCTTGTCCCTGCTGGGCAGCACAGCCAGGGCCACCAGCTCTGTCACTTAATCAGTGCTGGGGGTTGGAAGGGACCTCTGGAGATCATCCAGTCCAACCCCCCTGCTAGAGCAGGATCCCCCAGAGCAGATCCCACCGGAAAACAGGTTGGGAATGTCTCCAGGGATGGAGACTCCACAGCCTCCCTGGGCAGCCTGTCCCAGGGCTCTGCCACCCTCACAGTCAAGAAGTATTTTCTTCTATTTAGGTTTTCTTATTTTTCTCATCTTTTCTTGTAATTAGGTTAAACTCCCTGTTTACCACTTTGTCACCATTGCCCCTGTCCCCACCACCAAGGGCTGTCACCTCCTGGTCACCCACAGGCCAGGTGGCTCCAGCAGAACAAACAGCCCCCCTGACACCCCCTGCAGCAGATGGGGTTTGTCCCCAGATCCCCAGGGCCACCTCTCCCCAGTGACAGCCCCTGGCCCTGCTCAGCACCCAGCACTAATGAGCTCACAGCTCCTTTCAGAGCTGCCATCATCCCCCAGGAGCAAGATCATAGACTCACAGGGATGGAGACTCCACAGCCTCCCTGGGCAGCCTGTCCCAGGGCTCTGTCACCCCCACAGTCAAGAAGTATTTTCTTCTATTTAGGTTTTTCTTATTTTTCTCATATTTTCCTGTAATTAGGTTAAACTCCCTGTTTACCACTTTGTCACCATTGCCCCTGTCCCCACCACCAAGGGCTGTCACCTCCTGGTCACCCACAGGCCAGGTGGCTCCAGCAGAACAAACAGCCCCCCTGACACCCCCTGCAGCAGATGGGGTTTGTCCCCAGATCCCCAGGGCCACCTCTCCCCAGTGACAGCCCCTGGCCCTGCTCAGCACCCAGCACTAATGAGCTCACAGCTCCTTTCAGAGCTGCCATCATCCCCCAGGAGCAAGATCATAGACTCACAGAAGGGTCATCTTATAGCTCATCAGGATCCAACCCCTGCATGGGCAGGGACACCTCCCACCAGCCCAGGCTGCTCCAAGCCCCATCCAACCTGCCCTTCAACACTGCCAGGGATGGGGCAGCCACAGCTTCCCTGGGCAACCTGGGCCAGGCTCTCACCACCCTCACACTCAACAATTCCCTCCTCATGTCCAACCTCAATCTCCCCTCTGCCAGTTTTAATCCATCCCCCTTGTCCTCTCCCTCCCTGCTCTTGTCCCAAGTCCCTCCCCAGCTTTCCTGGAGCCCCTTCAGGCACTGGAAGGTGCTCTAAGGTCTCCCTGGAGCCTTCTCTTCTCCAGGCTGAACACCCCAACTCTCCCAGCCTGTCTCCTTTCCATCACTTTTGAGGTCCTCTTGGCTACCACCAGCACCAAGATCAGACCCCCAGTCTTCATATCTCACATCAACCACCACTCCCAGAGGGTTTTGGACAGCACAAGACCACCTAAACCCCCCAAAAAAACCTCCCAGTACCCCATCAGATGCCTTACCCACCAGGAACAGCCTCCTCCTCTACCAGCCTGTGCTGAGACCTGCCCGACTCGTTTCACCAACTGTTCATCAGCTGTTTCTGTGACTCAATGAAAACACAGGGAGCAACAACGAGCTCCCCGGGACTGGAGAACCTGACACACACCCACGTGCTCGTGTGTGTACTCCAGGGTCAAAACAAGCAGCAAGGAAACACAGCAGCTGCCAAGAGTCCTGGCGAGAGGAGCCATAAACCCAACACCTCCCACGACAGGGGGATGTCGGGCCGTGCTGGCCGAGCCGCCCCAGCCCCCCAACCC